GTACGTGCGTGCAAGCGGGTGTGTATGTGTGCCAGGGGGGAGTGGGGGGAGTGGGGGGAGTGGGGGGCGGGGGGGGGGGGAGTGGAGAGGCCTATTCTGCGTGCCCTGAAGAGGGGCCGACCAAGGACCCCCCACCGCCGGTGGCTCCTCCATCAGTACTGTTGACTTTCTTCCCTTGTCACAGGTACCCCCCCTCTCCTCCCTCTCCCTCTCTCCTCCTCCTGCCTCCCCCTTCCCCCTGCAGCACACACACGCACGCACACACACACACACACACACACGTTCCTATCCCATGCCCGCGGCGTCCACCACAGCATCCTCTCTCTCCTGCCTGCCCGCACCACCTCAACGCACCATGCTCTCCAACTCTTTCCTGCCGTTTCGCCACCCCAGCTGCTCCCGATTTCCTCTATTGCTGCGCCCCCCCCCGCCCCTCCACTCCCCTTCCCGCCCACCCTGCTGCATGCATCTGCCGGCGCCCACTCTTTCCCCCCCCCGCTCCATGCTGACACGTCGCCCGCCACCCCTTCGCTCCCCCTCCCGTCCCCAGCTTACTAGCTAAGAAAAGCACTTTTTCCACCATGGCCACTTTCCCCACCGATCTTTGCCCCGTCTACGCTCCCTTCTTCGGCGTGATGGGCGCCACCGCCTCCGTCGTCTTCACCTGTACGTCTTATTGTGTCTCCCTCTTGGCTTCTCCCTTCTCTTCTCCTTGGTTTCTCGTCCTGACCTCGTCTCCTTTCTCTCTCTCTCTCTCCCCCTCCCCCGTCCCCTTCCTCCTCCACCCACAGCCTTCGGTGCCTCCTACGGTACCGCCAAGGCCGGTGTCGGTGTGACCGTCCTCGCTGTCATGCGCCCTGAGCTCATGATGAAGTCCGTCATTCCTTGCGTCATGGCTGGTATTATTGGTATTTACGGCCTCGTCGTCTCCGTCCTCATTTCTTCCGGCAGTGCGTGGCTCTCTCCCCCATTTTGTTTCTCGCCCTTTCCCCCCTACACGTCGCCTCTCTCTCTCTCTCTTCGCCCTTCTCATCTCTTCACCATATCCTCCTCCTCCTTCTCCTTCTCACCGCGTTTGCCCTCCTCTCCCTCTCCCCCTCTCTCCTGGTATCGCCTCCCTCGGCCTATAGTGCAGTGGAACGAGTACACCCTGTTCGCGTACGTTTCTCCTCCTCCTCACCTCCCCCTTTTGGTGTCTCGCCCCTCTCCCCGCTGTGTCGCTTTCTCTTCCCCACAGCTAACCCCTCTCCCTCCTCTCCGTTGTCTCCCTGCTGCGCCATCACAACACCCACGCATCCCCCCCCAAATCACAGTGGCTTCATCCACCTTGGTGCTGGTCTCGCTGTCGGTCTTGCTGGTCTTTCTGCTGGTTTTGCTATTGGTATTGTTGGTGATGCTGGTGTTCGTGGTACTGGTCAGGTTCGTAGCAATCCCCCTCCCCCTTCCCTCCTTCTTCGCCCTATCTCGCCTCCTCTCTACTCCTTGCTCTCCCTTCTTTCCTTGTCGATTTTCCGTCTTGCTCACCACGCGCGCCCCTCTTCGTCCTCCTCTCCCCCTCCGCCCGCTCTCTCCCTGTCACACCCACACCCACCCACGCGCGCGCGCACACACACGCTCCCACAGCAACCGAAGCTGTTCGTCGGTATGATTCTTATTCTGATTTTCGCTGAGGTGCTCGCCCTTTACGGCCTCATTGTGGCTCTGGTCCTCCAGACTCGTGCCGGTGATGCCAAGTGCGTCGTCTCCTAAATCAGACCAGCTCGCGCGCGCGCCCAACGCCCAACGCCCAAGCTGCTGCGATGTTGTCTTCTCCCTCCCCCCTTCCCCACTCCAGCGGAGCAGTGTGTCCCCTGTGGGCCCCCCCTCCCCTTCCTTCCTTCCTTCCCACAACACATACACTGCCGCGCTGCCCTCCTCTTCCTCCCTTCTCCTCCTCCTTCCATCTTCCTCAAGAAAGGCTGTTTGGAGCTGCGAGATTGTGATGGGGGGTGGCGCGGCCTGTCCTCTTTTCCACATGGCCCCGTGCTTTTGTCATATAGCCTCTCGCCAGAGCCCCATCCTCGCAATAATACAGTCTGCATCAGAGTTTCACTCTCCCGGTGTTGTTATTTTGCGTTATTTTGCTTCTTTTCTCGACATTTGTGCTTGTTGCACCCTTTCCCATTCCTCCCTCCATCCACACACTTTTTGAAGGAGGGGAATGGGGTCAGAGGTGTGTGTGAGAGAGAGGCAGGTCCGCTGCATACTTTTGCCTTTCCCTTTCTCTCTCTCTCTCTCTCTCTCTCCTTCCCGCCATGGGCAAATGGTGGGCATTCCCTGCAGAGTATCATCCAGCAGAAGGCGGCTCCCCGTCGTACAGTCTTTTTTGCCCCCCCCCCCC